CGACCTTTGTAAGCAAAAAGAACGTCTAATAAAAATTCATATGGGTCGGCTTGAAATTAAATTTGAAATAGCCAGAAGAATTGTCAGTCAATTGTGCTTTCTTGTTTGAAAGCAAAGTTCTTTTGGCACATGTTTCGACCATCGCAAAAGGTACAGAAGTCGCCCTCGAAGGCACGTACAATGCTAGGGCTCCGGGTTTTATGGTCTAAGACAGCACACCGGGACCATGTGTTCTCCAGATACGTAGCGGAATAATGGGATTTACGTGTAATTCCGAGGCTCGCTGGGAAAGCTGTACGGTCGAGCTGTTTTTCGAAGGTGCACGCTTCGAATGTTCGCCATACGGTAACGAAAGGTGCGATTTTTGTCCGGCTAAACTTTCGAAACGAGCGTCCTCGGTGTCACGCACCTACGATTTCACCGGCTTCATCCTCGACCACGCCGATCGTTTTCATTTTCTTTTTTTCCACGTCTCGCCTCGCCTTCTTCCACCTCGTCTACCCCTTAACGTCCGACAGGTGATTTACACGCGAGGATTTACTGCTTGCAAGATTTTACGAAAGGCTGTGACCCGCGCCAGAAACCGGCGAATGTCTGCGCGAGAAAGGATGCCGTTTCGAGAACGAAAAACCATTTTTTACGAGATTCAATCTTTCCACCGTAGCAGAATGTCATTTTATCGACGCTGTGCATTCATTTGATTATCGAATTTGAAATAAGTTTAAAAATACTTAAGAAGTCTGGATCAATCGAGATGCAAACTTACAAAATATATTAGTAAAATTTAGAAAATGAATATAATATAATTAAAAGTTGGCCTAAGGATCAGCGAAACACTTCAACAAAACAGGCCCATAAAATTCCCAAAACTTTCCCAGTGAAACAATACTGAAGAAAATCAATGGTGCCATGGTTTACGGGTGTTACTATTAAAAACCATCCCCCTTAGGAGGGCAAGTCGCATGTGTCCGTCCCAAGGGTACCCACTGGAAATCCCCGCAATTTCGAGGATCTGCTAGTCCACGAAAATCCTTGTTCGCAAATTCTCTTAGGAAAGAGGTGGTCACGGCTCTTTCCAGAGGCTTCGTGCACAGCTGAAGGGCGTGGGTGTTTACGTCTTTGGTTTTATTGCTCGGATGGGCGACGTTCGGCGAACGAGCGACGATCTGGTCCGAACGAGCCAGATCATTCTTCCTTTATGGTCGAATTTGAAATCACGTCAGGATGTCGGTGGAATTCTGGAAAGACCGTTGTCCCGCCACCCGACGAGACCCGATAATAAACGATCGAGATTCGCCCGCGTCCGGTACGTCGCGATATCTCCTCGGAATTAAGTTGTTCCTTTCCGGTTGACGTTAAAGAGCGTACCGCGTGATACGTCTGATTGTTTAGTGACTCTCGTAATTCGCGTGTTTTCACGAGCCAAGCGATCGAAGCGTACGTTTACACCGGTCCGAACGAACGCTTCTTCCGGTACGCGCGTACATTATGTTGCAACGTAAGATCCACCGGTTTTATTTATCGCCAGTTTAGAGGGAAAGCAGATAGATACGCTAATTGCTAATGCAACAAGGTTTTATGCTTGTTACGAGGTGTGGCAATATTGCTGCTCTCTTATTTATTATGCAGCTTCTAACGATTGCTTTCGCTTTTTAATTAGGGAGTGGTCGGGCCAGTTTGTTTTATGGAATACAGTTAGAAATAATTTAGAAATTCATAGGTGAATCGAAGGCGTGAACAGGCATAAAATAATCGTAAAACAAGGCGAATAATTTTAGTTAATAATTAATTGCAATGGTTGAGGGAGCTTGGAATCAGAAGTTCCTTTTTCAACCGTTTCGGTATCTTCGGCGCGCTTGCAATTTTTCCGGCAAACAATCCTATAACAATAAACATATTGGACGGCGAGAAAGGAGAAGAATCCCAGCGATACGAGGCATCGAGTCGCGTCTAATAGCGAGTGCTCGGGGACCGAACAAGAAGTCGGACTCCCAATAAAACGCGAAACCGAGAGCTGGCAGCGTATCGAGTTCCCCGAGGTTTTTCCGGCGTAATTTATGCCCGATAATGAATCTACACTCCGTAGATAGCGTAAGGTCAGGTGTTAATGCCGGTGCGTGTGTGGTGCGGGGAACGCGGACCCGCGTGGGACTCGTGGCCCATTGGGCCCACCCGCGTGCACGCTCTCGCTCGATTCACCGCGGAATCAGAGGTGCTCACCTTCGCTTCATCGCCAATTTCAGCTTAAAATTGCAAGTAAACGCGTCTGCAATAATTTTCTAAACAAACTCCACATTATCGACTGTGATAAATTCAATGATGAAATTGAATTTTTGTAACGAAGCGTGGAATACAAACGAGCACAGAGATATTAATTTTAATTATCTAACAAGGAATTCCGAGGTAATTTTTCAAAGAAGACTAGCGAGGTTCTAGTCGGTAAATGAGGGATCCCAAGTAATTTTTCACCGAGGATCGAATATTAGAGAAAACTCGTGTACGTCTGTCCGCTTAAGCTGTTCGTTTTAACGATGTTGCATCTCATTAGTCTCCGTGGACGAGGTGGAAAACAATCTTTCATTACGAAACCGGTGAATCGATGAATTGTGGGATCCGTGTTCAAGAAACCTATGTGTTATAAATACTGTCATGACAGGGATCTCTATGAAATTAATAATTTTAATCTCCTTCCACGAAGGAAGGTTGAGCACCTACGGTCTCCGGTACCAAGTCTCAAACAATGTCTACATTAAGCAAAGTTTCTAGAAACAGGACTCTCCCTTTCTCGGTCTCTCTCTCGAGGAGTCCTTAACGGCTTCCAAGGAACGCGCCTCCCGAACGCGACATGGAAACGCGGCTTCGTCGATTCCCTTTGGACGGTTCACGAGCCTAGCTACTCGCGATTCACGGTTTATAAAGTACGTGCTTACGAGCGCGTTACAATCGGCCCGAGAGTCGAAACAGCTCCGGCCGGTTGAACCTTGCATCCTCGCGCCTCGGGCACCGGCTATTAAGATATTTGAATAATATTATCACGGAGAGGCCGCGGCACTCGCCGGTGTCGATAACGACAAGGGACCTCGCGTCCAGGTGAGCTTTAAAGCGATACCGAGAGGGAATTTTAGTGCTCAGACCCGTCCGATAAAGTGGGCCCGTCGTCGAATCGCGAATGTTCACACCGTGGGATATCTTCGCTTCGAGATATCGATCTGCGGGCCGATCGATAGATCGAATAGAGACGCAGACTGCTTGAATTATGATGGGACTGATTTTATTATTCTCGTAAAATACCGATTCGCGAGGCCGTAAATCCTCGCCGCTGCGTAATTGCCGCGTTTCGCTCCGCGCACGCTCGTCCTGATGAGAGGAGAATAAGACGTGATTGTGGAACGCGATGGAGTCCGGCTCCGTGATGCTGAGAATTGTTAGGGGGAGTTAGATGTTTCGTGATTGCTACTGTTGAATAAAATCCAATTATCAAAATTGTAATTTATGTCCCTTTCCTCGTGTTCCTTTCTCTCAGTAATCATTCGACCGATCGAATGAAAATTTAGGGTGCTCTTATAGTCAAATGTTGTACAATTTTTTCTATTCGGTGTTTCAACATTCCCTTCAGCTAAAATACATATCTAGTATGATAAAAATTTAAAGTTGATTCTGAGAAAAATGAAAATGTCCACTATCTTTAAGGTCATTTAAAAAATAACACTATTCCTCGTTTGAATATCCTTGCTCCACTTAGGAATACTCTATATCTGCAACCGAATACGCTTGGCGAGTAGCGGGAACACGTGTTCGAATGCGTCAACGTTCGCAGCACGGAGAGGAGCGTACGCGGAATTTAAACGCGGCGAGCAGCCGCGGCTCACGTCTGCATTCGCTATCAGCGACCGATGCACCATCGCGGTGCAATGAAATCACGGGGTGACCTCATTTCCTGAGTCAATACATCGGGTCGATGCGCATTCGGAATCGACCGGCTTCCACGAACCGCCGAGTCCGCGATTTCGCGACGCGGAGAACGTGTCCGAAAGCGTAAACTTCGTACCGGTTCCCAACCGTGTGTGTCACCACTCGTGCACACAGGTGCGAACCGGAGGCGATTTCGTGTCCACGTCTTTTTCCATCGTATTTTTAACCGACAACAAAGAAGCACGGTGTTGATTGATAATTGCCACGATCGACGAGCAATAAGTCAGAGATCCGCTCCGCGGAACGCTTCGCTCATTTACGCGTGAGTCAGACGAATGCAAGCAATCTGCCGGTAGAAAGTTCGCATTAAATGACGGGTGAAATGAGCCGTAAAAGAAGGAAACTCGGAACCATTGTAGGATCTTGATATCGTAACTCGTGTTTATGGATCTCTGAATATTGCCGATTGTAACGGTATCAACGGTGCGCGCTCTTTCTTCCTTAACTGTCCACTTTCACGAGCGTAATGTTATCAGTTAACGAATGTAAACGTCGCTCTCTGTTCAGATTTCAAGATAACGTTACTTCTCTTTTCTGAAAGAGAAAATCTCTTTCGTATGGTATGATTTATGAAGTTTCACGAACGAATCGATTGCCTTTTACAAAATAATTGAAAAAATTTAGAAACGAGGATTTTTATCAAATTTCTTCTGGAACCGATGTGTGTCTTTAGTCGGCGAGGAGCATGTGCGATCCACGTGCGGCTCCGCTTTATTAATGTTCGTCTGGTTCATTAATGCAGGTGCAGGAACGTAACGTGTACTCACGCTTCGAGGATTCGACAGTGTGCGCGCCATGTGTGTCGCAGGTATTACAGGCAAACAGGTAAGGGCCCGAAAACATGTGACGGCCAGCCTCCGGGACTCGGTGCAGGATTTGTGTTCGGGCACGTACCACCAAGGACGCGCGGAAGGTGATCGTGCTGCACATGTCGAGAGCTACAAACTCGATGGAGAAAAAAATCGAGGAGGTGGATAACGGCGTGGTTATAACCGGCCTCGCGCGTGTACACGTCCACCTTGTTTCGATATTATTCGAGGATACCCGAATGCCTCTTCTCTCCTTTTCTTTTATTTCATTTTTCATCGTTGAACACCGAGGCTCCGCCGGAATAAGCATTCTGGTATCTCTGATTAATATGAATTTTAAACGAATCGTACCTTTTAATCCTCCGTTGACAATGTTCCTTTTCTAACGCGGCGAACTGAAGAAATCTGAAACAATTTTAAGATACTCGTTAAAGCACAAGTGACACTTAAGCGAAATCTTTAATTTGCAATAAAAATAAAAGGTTAAAGGCGATTACAAAAATCCTCCGCATATTTATAATACTATTAACAGATCTGGTTCTCCGTTCACGGCTATAAATCGAACGGTTCGATCGAAAGGTTCGAAGGTGTTCGGATCTCGAATCGGTGATAATTAACGTGGAGCGGAGGCGTGGCCCCCGGGGGCTCGAAGCATCTCGAGGACGATTCGTCTTCGTCCCACGATGCGTGCATTCGCACGTCGTGGCATTCGTTCATCATCAATTTATGCAGAACAATTCAACGACAACGGTGCATTACGGGGCCAACGGCGTAGGTTCAAAGACCTCGAGCCGCGGCTACACCTCGATCGACTCGCGTCCTCCACGCAGAGTACGTTGTTCGATGCTTTTCTTCCTGCTACGAGTCGCGCGAGCTCGTCTTTTGGCTGGCAATTAGCATACGATTGACCCTGTGCCGTGACCCTGCGCGGCTCGCGGCCAAACGATTGAATTAAAATGCGTTTAAAGCCACCCGTCTCGCACGGACGATTTCGAGGCCTCGAGAATCGGTGCCGTTTCCTTTTCGTGAAAGTCCCTCTACATTTGTCGCGCGTTACGACGGACAATGATTTTTTATTTTTATTCTGTATCGTGTTTATTGCATTATTCGAACGGACCTTCGGTAGCTGGAAATAATTCGATAGGTTGTTTTATATTATTTGGAAAACGGCAATAAAACATGTAGGATATTTCTTTTTCCTTTTCTAAATCTAACACATTGAAAGAAGCGCTTTGTTAAAATTGTGACCCCAGTCGAGGCGCAGATTTTTCAATGGTCGATCGTTCGGGAAAATCCAGGTTGACCATGGATCCGTTCCTGGCACGTTTGTAATTCGGTTTTCCCCGTGATTACGGGTGTAATGAGGGATTAACGGACAGTACGGCCACCAGCAACGGCCAACCCCGAATGAAATACACCACCAGTTATCCTGTAAAGGCACTTGAATGCGCCACCAGCAAAGTCGACCCACGTGTTACAGCCTAAACGTGCTTTGAGGGAAAGTTTGCACCTTATGGTGGCCCGTCAATTATGACCTGCTTGGGTATTTTCCCTTCCCGATTGTTCCCAACGAGAAGGACAGTTCTATGGTCACCAAATGTTTCCGATTCTTTTTTTTTTCATAGTCTCTTAACCCTATGGTACCCCGTCGTGTCCCCTAGATCCTTGAAATTTTAGCAACAAGTGGTAATTATTGTACTGTTTAATATCAAGTCTGTTTCAATTTATAATGAAGAAATTAGAGGAAGGAATGTTTTTCTTTTGAAATTTGTATGGTTTTCTTCTATTATCTTTTGAATACATTTCTGGCAAATAGAAGAAAATTGTTTTCTAATATATATGATAGTTCAAAATCTGCTAAACATCTGTATATGAATTCGCTCGTTAATAAAATCGATCGTTGGTGTCATAAAAAATAAAAATTATTGAAGGAACAGAGGACAAAGTCACGCAAGGTGGTACGACCGCACCCCCAACAATTTTCACTGTTAATTTCGCTTCATTATAAAAGGGTACAGTTTTACGATCCTCAATATCCCCGGCAATAAACTCATTTATTCTCCGTTGGAACGTAAATTCTTTGCTAATTTTCCGAAGGCAAAATACCAGTACGATAATATAATCGTTGTTCCTTTAATTCCATAAGCTGGAACAAGCCTTTCAAAACGGAGTATTCGAAAACGTTCCTGTCCATATGGGTAACACACCTCGACCACTTCCTTGCCATAAACGTTCGCCGTGACGACAATGACCGGTTGGAATCGTCGATCCACATGTTTGGCAAACACTCGCGGATACGACACCCCCATGGGTCGGCTATGGCTTGGGAAAGCCGGGATTGGGAGCCGGCATATGGCGACAGGCCGAGGCTAAACCGGTAGCAGGTGAGTTTTGTCCGAGGCACGATGGGAATGTTGCGACTACCTGTCAGCTTACCTTCACCCACGAGCCTCCCGATGGACTCTCGCCATTGTTCCACGTCCAACGAGTGCCATTAACTGCAGGTAGGAAGTGTAACGACCCGCTTATCAGACTGATAATAAATTGTTTCTATCGCGAATTCCTATCGAGTCGTTATGACGGGGGCTCGATAGACCCGTTCCGCCCATTTGCTTGTTGCACGGAATCGAAGGGTGCAAACTGTGGGATCTAGAGAAGCTAATAAGAAAAATAAATCTTGAAGATAAAGATATTTTTGAAAGCTGTCTAAATATTTTCTCATGGTTTATAAACGACCTTTTTTAAAAAAAAAAAATAAATCGTTTATCGAAATTGTTTCGACAACGTCTGAACCGGTCGTTCCAAAAAGCTCTGTTTACATTCGAATCATGAAAGTGAGATCGCCTCGATAGGGGGACGACTTTCACGAGATCTTTCGGCCCATCTGTCGTCGGAGGTTTTCCGTGGCTGGTTCACGAGCTCGCCACGGATTCTCTTTCCTTGAAATCCAGGACGTACATCGATCTCCAGCACACGTTTCACCAAAATCGTACGGGGGTATCCGACGACACGGCCTCGCTGCCCGTTCGGTCCATAAATCTCTCGGGAGGTGATTGTGGCGCCACTCGCGTCACAGATCGCGCGACCGATTCTCCGTAAGGTAAACTGAATATATCGGCTTGTTTCCACCGGCCAAAGAACCGCCGGCCGGAGAGAAATTACACGCTGATGCCGACGTCTATTCGCGTTAAACGAAGGGGATGCACTTTCCGACAAGAAACGAGAAAATATCTTGGCGGATCTGGTGCGTTTTTATTGACCGCGATCGGCGGGATGATAGCAGTGTGGTTGGTGATTGCGATGACCGAACAGGAACCATCTTCTCTTCTTGGTTAGTTCTGTTTCGAAATAGAATTCTGGGAATTCTAAGGAATCTAGGGAAAAATTCTGGGATATTTATTAAATTTAATTTAACATACAAATGACGATTCAAATGATAAGTTAAAAATTAAGTCACAGTCCTCCCCAAATATAAACCTCCCCTATTTCATTGGAAATAAAATTCTGAGAAATCTGCATCTACGAAGAATCATCTAAATCATTAATCACACTTACGATTGAATCGTGTTATCAGCACTTTTACTATTTCTTTCTTCACAACAGCGACCTTCGCGGCGGATTTCGGTCGCGTAGCGGTACCGGTCCCCGTGACACAAGTAATATCGATCCTCCTCCATCCGCGTCGATCTCTCCGAATTATCCATCCTCCTCCTCCTCCTCCACCTTTCGAACAGTCGCATGGCACGCGTGTGTATACGTGGATCGCAGGAACGGCGCCTACGCCTGGCGCCAACAGCGAAAGAAAGTGCGACTGGGGTCGAGAGGAAAGGTCTTTCTCTCTCTCTCTCTCTGAATGATCGTCGTGCTCGTTTTTACGCTTCTCGGCCGAGATGCGGGTGAGATTCGGGGCGAGGACGCGAGGTCCCCTGTCTCGTCCCGGAAGCGAGAGGACGGCCGTATCGTATCCCCGATACGCTCGGGAACACCGGGGCGTACGATGTACCACGCCGATGTAATTTGTCGTCAAGTTGGCCATTACGCGTGGTCCACGCGGATGAAAGATGTTGGAAAGCGGACGGCCGAGCGACCTCTACGTAACCGGGAAATTACGAGGCTCGCCAGAGGTTGAGGAGGGTTGACGCGGGTAGGTGGAGCGAGACACTTTCGTCGCGGATGCAGAAATACAGGGTGCTTCATAAAAAGTGGAAGAATTTTGATGACGCTCTTTTCGATTCTTGAAACAAAATCTAATTGCTAATCAGCTATGGTTTATTGAAATATCAAAAATGAAAATTCGTCCGAATCTCCTTGGGACAGCCTGTAGCTACGATAATGCGAGGGCGTTTACGAAAGTCCGATGTCCCCTTTCGAACCGTGGCAACTGATTTACACCGCGATAAAACGTTTTCAGAGATTTCATATATTTAAAGTCGAACGTTGAAGAGGGAAAAGAGGGTAATCGTCCTCGTCGTAATTCAGGAAATTCGTCCTCGTTACCGTGCGCCGCGGATAACTCGTTAAATTTAATTACCATCGATAGGCTGGTACGCGGCGGACGGAGGATTTTTGTAATTATTAACGAACGGGCCGCGAAGTCGAAGCATAAACCGGGATGAAAAATGTCCGTCGGCGAAGCAGTTTTCCTGGAAACGATCGATGCACGAGCCACGGCGCGCCGAGGGGCTTCCCACTGATTTACCGTCTACCAAGAATAAAATGGCCGTTAATAAGAAAGATTTCCGTTTCGGCAACTCGTAAAGTACCATCTTAACGTCCCCTATATCGCGGGTAATATTCGGGACAGGTAACGCGCGTACCTACTCCCCTTTGTACGAAGATGTACTCGCAGAAATAAGCATGTAAGTTACGATCGTTCGGCTCTCTCGTTCCCGTGGCTTTTGCAAAAGGATCCACGAGAGCGACGAGAGAGGAGAACTCTCTTCATTCCACGTATTCGTGTCCGACGTCCTTTTAATTGAGCGGTTTAACGCGCCGTCGTAAAGATTCCACGGCCTGCAGCTGCGTCAATTCGATCGCTCCTCTTTTCGCGTCCTCGCGATTTTACTTTTCTCTCTCTCCCTCTCACGCCCCGTCATCTCCGAGGACCCGCGTGTTCCGACCCTGTTTTCATGTTTTCTCGAGCTGGAATAGTCGTGAAGGAAGCACGACCCGCTAAAAACCAGATCCATGAAACCCGAGCACCACCATCGTCCCGGCTTCCGCAGACTGCGAGCTTCGCCGTGCTGTGTTGCACGCGGCAGGTGCATGGCCCACATATTCGGCATAAAAACTGGTAACCTAAGGTAACCGCAACCTGCCACGGTTTCAGGCTCCTTCGCTTATGCACGCGTCAGGGATCGCGATATTTCATGCTGATTCGTGCTCGATTACAAATCGTTGCCTTA